TCTTTCTGTACCATACTCTATTTTCTGGGAGTTTTCCTCAGTTTTATCTTCCAACCCTTTCATTGAGTTTTTCATTTCTACCATTATATTTTTAATGCTGGAGAGTCCTTTCTAATGTTTGTTTAATTTTTCTGTAGAGCATGTGTTCTTGTTTTATAGATGAAATATCTTACTTCTCTGAGGATAGATGGGTATATAAATAATGTATAAATTTTGTCATATACATTACATATATTTTTTCCCTCAAAATCTCATTTTCCTGCATAGTTGCTCTTCCCTCCAATTTTTTTTTTTTTTTTTTTTTTTATTTGGATGTTTTGGCCTCTTATTTTAAAGGCCTTCCTCAGCTGTGTGGTGATCATTCATTACCCAGAGATGGATACTAAAAGGCTGACTGGGAGCTCTGTGTATTGACTGAGACCTCCTCTGAAAGGTGATCTGGATGGGGAAACTTTGTTGTCAGTGTCTTTAGGTCTTTGTCTTGGTCTTGTCAGATTCCTAGAGAGGAATCTCTGGTCTTCTCCTGGAGGTTATAAACCTGGCAGATAGGTTCTTAGAGCTAAGTGGGGGAAGAGAGCGGGAAGGGGGGTGTGGATCGTATAATGTCTCAGCGTTTAGTGTGTAAACCTTCACTGATCCCCCTGTTCTCAAAATTGCTATCCTACCCTCAGTTGTGCTGGTGTCCTTTAATCCAGAGATTCTTCTTTCTGGTTTGTTTTAGCAGTATATTATTCAGCACTTTATTCTTTTTTTTTTCTCATAATAACATTGTTTGGGATTCAATAGTGATTCTTTTCTTTCTACAGGAAATTAGTTTTCCTGAACTTTTTGAAGGGATTGGGAAGGACAACATTTCTTTCTTCACAGCTCTGCAGTTCCATGTTCTGTTGTTTTCATGAAGTGTTAAAAATATGGCATTGTTCTGATGAGATCCCTTTGTTCTATCCCCTTCCCTCATTTTTATGGAGACCTTCCCTTTCCTTTGCTGCCACCATCCTTGTTTTTCTTACTTTAGATTCTATTCCCAACAGTGTCTCCTCATTGTAGGATTGTCCTGGTTATTTTTGAGAGTTCATAGGGTCTGGACTGCTTTAGCCCTTCCAGACTGTGCCACACAGTACAGTCAGTCTTGCACTCAGTTTCTGCTGCTTTCCCTCTTGGTTCTTTGCACTTTTCAGTGGATGGTACTTGGCTCTTTTGGGATTCTCCTGTTTTTAGGTTTGTCAGGCTCATTATGCTTCCCTCTGCTTCTACCCATACAGATGCTGTTACTGTGCAAGTCTTGCAGCTCTCAGTTTGTCCCCACTTACTTGTATCTTGTGGTTTGGGGGGATACTGTGTCACTTAACATGTTGATATTAAGTCTTGTTGATATTAGTCTTGTTGATATTGTCTGTGCATTTTTGGATTTGCTATTTTAGTTGCTTTGCTACTCTTATGGAGGCTTCAAGGAGATGCCTGCATCACTGCCATCTTCCCACAACTCCTGATACATGTTTTTTTAGCCCCACCCTCATTCCCACCTCTGGATGTACTTTGTGACCTCAGTTTCTGAGCATTTTGGGAGTTCTGTAGTGTCAGTTTTGTTGCTTTTGTCTTTCTAATGCTTTTAAGATTCGGTTTTCTTGGTTACCATTCTCCTGCGATACAGCCTCCAATGTTTTGTTGTTACCTTCTCTCTCATTCTTGACTTTGTCATTTTAGTGGGGTTTTAGAAGTGAAGGAGAAGGAGATAAATGCGTATGTTCAAACAGGAGTTAGTATGTATTCTCTTATTTTATACATATGTATATATTTCCTACAGTGGCAATGTTTAACTACACTGTTAAAAACTGTTTTGGAAAGAATCTTTTTATGTTATGTCTCTATGAGTCCTATATGATTGGAATGAAATTTGCCTTTAGTACAGAAACTTACTTATTATAGGCTCCCATGGTACTAGTGTATTAGCTCTGAAACTCAGTGTAATATTCACCTTTCTTCCTCTCTAGATGGCTTTGAAATGTGTAAAACTAAGCTACATCTGATGAAATTCTGCTGAGACATTGTATACAGTATAGTCTTTCTGTCAACAGCTAAATTCACAGGTTTTATGACCTCCTTGAAGATCAGATATTCTCAGCCAGAGGGAGAAATAATTTCTAGGAATATTTTTAGGATCCAAGTTAGATTATTTGTAGAAATGAGTTGTGTTTCATCCTCTTTTTCTGCTCTACTCAGAATACTTTTTACATTTAAAATGTTTTAATGCATGTACATTCATGCAACAAAATTCTTGGTAGGTATTTCCAAGAATTGACTGGTTGGGTTTTTGTTTTATAGTTTTTTAATGTTTTAATAAATAATTAATTGGAGGTTTGTTTTTTTTCCCTGCAGCTTTACTGAGGTATAATTGGCAAAATTGTATTATGTTTAAGACACATAATGTGATGATTTGATATATGTACACATTGTGAAATAATTACCACAATCAAGTTAATTAACAGATCTGAAAACCCTCACATAGTTGCCATTTTAGAGGTTTATTTTAATCATCTTTGTATCCCCAGTGCCTGGAATGTAGTAGGGGTTTGGTAAATATTTGTCAAGCTCAATTAAAGTTATTGCCAAAATTTGAAGAATCATCTCTCTTGATTATAGCACCTAGAGTTGTGAAAGTTGAGGTCTGTTTTGGTAATTTTTCTTAAAAATTTTATTTATTTATTTTTGGCTGTGTTGGGTCTTCGTTTCTGTGCGAGGGCTTTCCTTAGCTGTGGCAAGCGCGGGCCACTCTTCATCACGGTGCGCGGCCCTCTCACTGTCGCGGCCTCTCTTGTTGAGGAGCACAGGCTCCAGACGCGCAGGCTCAGTAGTTGTGGCTCATGGGCTTAGTTGTTCCACGGCATGTGGGATCTTCCCAGACCAGGGCTTGAACCCGTGTCCCCTGCACTGGCAGGCAGATTCTCAACCACTGCGCCACCAGGGAAGCCCTGTTTTGGTAGTTTTTGATCTTTTACCTTGATGTAAATAAAGCCCAAGTAGTAGCTGTGTTCACCTGAGCCAATGAATGAGAATATATTGATTCTTAGAAGTATAAAAAGATTCTTTAGCATTTTTTAAAATTTAAATTTATATAGCTGAAAAAGTTCCAGTGTGCATACATTGCAAAAATTATAGCTAATTGTAGAGACATACCCAAACTTAACCTTTATACATGTGACTGATAATGCTGGTGGAAGTTTAGCTATTATATAAGGTGATTCAACTAGCACAGTATGTTTGAGGTCAACAAAAAAGGTATCCTTGTCATCATTGCCTTATCAGAAAGCATCTGCAACAAAAGCTGCTAAGGCTAGTCTTCATTTCCCCTCAGTGATTGTCAAATTCTTTGTTATATCTGCTCAGGAAGGCTCTCTGACTTCTTGATGTGTGGAGGGTAGCAGTAAGAACCTCAGTGAGGAGTGAACATTGAATCAGACACAGCTGGGAATGGCAGTGCCAGTCAACCTGGAAGAGCTGTTAATAACAGCCACTGATCCTCTAGTCCAGTAAAGCCCAGACAGTAGGAGGAGGGAGCCAGAAGGTTCCTAGTGGTAGCGGTCCAGGGTATTTTATGTTTAGTCACACAGGATGCCATTTTTCCTGATATGATTTGGGGAGCCAGAAAGCTTCTGTTTCTTCCCCCTACCTCAGCATATCTTATTGCGCTCTTAAAATACTGAAATTCCCATTTCATCCTCTTTAGAACTACTCTCACTTCCAGCTCCTCTTCTAAGGTCCCTTGCTCTCATACAAGATACCCTGCTTCTGTGAATGAACACTCAGACAGAAAAGATGGAGGTATCTGAGAGCCAGGGCTCGGTGGGGCTGGGAGGGTGATTGCTAAATGTGGAGGACAGAGGAGTAAAGAAAGGGGGTAAGAGAGGTGAATTTCTTTTACAATTTTGCCTAAGCCCAGTAAGAAAAGCCTTAAAGGCATTTCTACTGTTTAACCTTTACCAGTCAAAAAGGAGATCCAGAATATTACTAATGTGCATACCTGAGATGGTGGCTGCTTTTTCATTACCTTTTTATTCCTAATATTAAAAAATAGAAGAAAATTCCGTGGGAGACTCCCTGATTGCCCACAGCTCAGAAGTCTAGCTTCAGGCTCTCTGGCCCTCTGGGCTGTTTCTTTGAATATCTTTCTAAACTTTTTTCCCTACTGTTCTTTCTATGTATCCTGTTCCAGTCACATTGAACTATGAACAGGTACCTGTAATCTTTTACAGGTACCACATTTTCCTGCTCCTGTGCTTTAACTCTAGCATTCATTCTCTTTGTTTGAAGTGCCCTTCTCAGTTTGTGAATCATAGTTCCAGCTCATTTCTCAAGCCTACTTTGAACGCATTGTCTCCAACATTGCAATCTCTTCTCTTTCTCTTGTATCTGAGGAGTTCTTCCTGGAGTGCCATGTGAAAAATAATGTACTATATCACTTTTGTCATTTTGAGGATTGCCTTAGGGGCTAGGTAAGATCTCTGAAGCTCAGAAATTCCACAACCTGGTTTGAAGCTGCTCTGGTCATCTGACCTTCCCAGGCAATAGGGCCAGTAGGATTCAGTAGCTTCAGTGGAGCCAGAATCTGGACACTTGGCCTAACTTGTGAAGTTTAGAAATCTGTGAATATGTAATTGGGATAATTTTCTTTGGAAAATTTAATCAGATGGTGAGCTCATGAACATATTGTGACTTTTCTCTATCTTCTGGTATAATTAACTGCTCTCCAAGCAACTGAAGAAAACAGACTTTATTTAGGAGGAAAAATATTTTATTTTGCCCATAGTCAAGTTAATTAACCCCAGCTTTTCTCTTCTCTGTCTGTAAAATGGGAATACCGTATTCTTATTTGGTTCTCTTCTTTATTTTACTGAAGTGCCATGAGGATGAAAGACTTTAGACAAGCGAGTGATACACCTCCACCTCTCTAATGGGATATTATGGGGAAAGGGTTATAGCAGACTTATTTCTCTGATATTCAGGTATGGAATTGGCAATCAGAGGAATATGTCTTTCTGCAAGCCCATCAGGAAACTGTGAAAGACTTTAGACTCTTGAAAAATTCAAGACTGCTTTCCTGGTCGTTTGATGGAACAGTGAAGGTAATTTGAAGCACACATTTCTTTTAAAAAAGTATTCTAATATTGATCGCATTGATTATATCATGACAGCCAAAAGCAGGTGGCTGATATGTAAATACTTAAAGTTTTAAATTTCTAAAATAGAAATGCCTGTTTTCTGTCTACTGCAGTCATCTATCTGCTGTGTGTTTATGAGCATTTGTACTAAAAGGCACTTAACGAGGTCAGAACAACCAATGTGCTAAAGCTCTTGGTTTATAGGATGTCTTCTGGCTGTTTATGCTCAGTAAGACAAAATGTTCTTAATTGTCAACTTCTGAGTTTTTCTTTGAAGGTATGGAATATTATTACTGGAAGAATAGAAAAAGACTTTGTCTGTCATCAGGATACAGTTCTTTCTTGTGATATTTCTCCTGATGCAACCAAGTATTCTTCTACCTCTGCTGACAAGACTGCAAAGGTAGGCCAATCGGTTGAAAGGTGCATTCATAAGACCTTGGTATTTGTTATGTATTATGAGTCCAAGTAATGTGTAAAACAGAATAATAAGTTTCTGTCTACATGTCTGTCTCATTTCGTGAATTTTTGGAGGATGCCCATTGACATTTAGTTTGTGTCAAATAGATTAAGTGAATGACATTGAGGATTTTTGATTTCTCCCTTACTGATAACTTTTGTCTGTTAGTAATCAAAGGCAGTGTCTACTGAATATTTTAGGCAATAAAAAGCATTGAAAGAGATTTACATTTAATTGTACACCCACAGTAAATTTTTTTGTAACTGATGTAAATCGATGCTTTTAAAAATCACATTCCAGTGAAATGATGCTCCCTGGTTGGGGACATTGAATACTCCATTCTCCATTCTCTTCTTTTTTCTCCATCTTTGTTAATGGCATCATTATCTACCCATCTTTCCAAACTGTGAACACTGGAGTTGCATGGGACTCTTCTGTCTTTTGTGCTCTATTGATTACTCCTCAGTGTCTCCTGGATCCTTGTTCTCTTCCTTGTCCCCACCCTGAAGACCAGGCTCTCCTTTTTTATTGGTGGACCTGCCACTGGTCTGTACTTCCTCTGGTTTATCTTCCCTACTGCTGCCCGAGTTCCCTGTTGAAACTCCTCTGTGACCTGATGGTTTATAAGCTAAACTCCTTAGCCCATCATCACCTCTTTCTGCTACATTGTTCCCTCTGTGCCAGACTACTTCTGCTTCCATCTTTTTGTGTGCACTGTTAACTTTCACTTGATACAACCTTGTATCCTTTTTTACCTGGAAGCATTATGACTCATTCTTCTAGACCTAGATTTAAGGTCAGTCCTTCAGTGAACCCTTTCCTGGCCCTCAGGCAGGATTAGCTGCTCCACCCTCAGTGTTCCTATTACATATTACTCATGTTAATTTACTTCATACCACTGTTGGCTCAAACATTTATGATTAAACTAGAAACTTCAAGGACAGGGACTGAATCCAGTTATCTTTGCACCACCAGTTCTTTGCTCACAGTGCCTGGAACACATTTTCAGTTTAAGCTTGTTAAATGGTGATGACAGAGCCACCAGGGAGAATATTGGAAGGAAAAGAACAGCCTTTGGCTGCTAAGATAGTAGGGTGGTATAGGGGCTAACCTTTAAAGTACTCTTGCCGTACATTAGACCCTTTGCTAGGAATTTCAGTCTCTATTATCTCATTTAATTTTCACTCTGTAGGTGCTATTGTCTCCATCATACAGATGAAGAAACTGAAGCCAGAGAAGCTTATGTGGGTTGTCCTAGGCCAAGGAACTAGTAAATAGTGGAGCCAGGACTCCACTCAAGTCTGCTGTACTCCATAGACTGCTTTGCTATTCTTCCTTCTAAGTCTAAAGTTAAGGAAGCTGTGACTTTGATCCTTGAGCTTAAGTTTACTTGAGTAATTAAAGGGAAACTCTAAAAAATGAACCAGGTTGCTAGTTGGCATTTGGGCCTCTCATGAAAGTTTATGAACTGTTGAACGTTAGAACTTCATATGATTGAATTTATGGCTAACTAGCACTCGAGGCAGGGTTTATAGATGCTTATTTCGAGTGTATTTACTATTCCTAAACAATCTGAATTGCCTTCCAGATTTGGAGTTTTGAACTCCTTTCCCCTCTTCATGAATTGAGAGGCCACAAAGGCTGCGTGCGCTGCTCTGCCTTCTCTGTGGACAGTACCCTGTTGGCAACTGGAGATGACAACGGAGAAATCAGGGTAGGGTGTTTGCTGACATGAAAGCACTGCTCTCCTTATAGCTTTGGCTAGCCCTCTGTACCATATCTGGGGCCTTTGTTAATGTGACAGGGAAGCACAGGCCCTAGGGTTCTGGTTGGATGAGGCATTCTTTGTTCTGTTTCTTATGCACGTTGTGTTCACAGCTGCACTTCACTGCAGAAAAGAATTCATTTTAGAGTTAAAGTGAAGCATTTCCCATGTATGTGAGGAGGCAGATGCCCTAGTTATTTGCAGTTGGTTCTGTGCTGTTAGCTTGAGAATGATTCATCTTAATTCTTGGACCTGAACCAAAGATTGTTTTTAGTGGCAGAATGTGAGGAAAATAATTTTTGTAAATTGTTGTCTAGATTATAAATGAATTGCAATTCTGCTGCTTCCTGCACTGAAAGGTCTCTTTAGCACTATATGCATTAGGTAGTCAACATTTAGAGTGGAGCCTATTGCCATCCTCGTGGGATTGTCTGCCTCTGGTTGTGTTAGAAGGATTGGGCGGTTGATGGAAAAAGTTTGGGCATTGGGGGTGGCTGCTTTGGTAACTGGTATAATCAGGAGAGTCTTGTTTTTTGTATGTTATTTTGTTCGTTTTTTACGAAGCAGGAATTAAAATTCAAGGAATAGGTAGGTATATAATGCAGAAGAATGAGACAGTATGCATTATGCAGGAATAGGGGCATTATCAGATAGGCTTTCCAGGAAAATTAAGATTCTCTTGCTTGAGGACTAAGTAACCAACCTTCTGTATACCATTCTTATAAATGCCATGCCAGCTGAAGGGGCAGGACTGCTTTGGGAACATTCATTTTGCTCTGAGTTCTCACCTCTGGATGAAAGGGCTCTTTTACTGGTTATGAGGCAGTGTTTCATTTTCCAGAAACCCCTAAAGGTAAAAATTGTCTCTTTAAATAAGGGTTATTTAAAAATTTTTCTTTAGTACATTAAAAAAAATTTCTGTTTTTCTTGATTTTTCAAAATATAGGAAAGCTATTAATTTTTTATATATATCTTCTATCCAGCTATCTTACTGAATTCTTTATAATCAGTTTTTCCATTTGATTCTCTTGGATTTCCCAGGGGACATTTACAAATGATGATTTTGATTATTTTCTTTTGCTATTTATGCCTCTGTTTCTCTTATTCTGATGTATAATTTCTTTGAAAAATTAGAGTACTGCTCATATATTAAGTATCACTGGAAATAAATGAAAATATTAGTATCTATAAGTAATTGGGTTGTTTTTAAGAGCTTAGTAAACTAATCTTAGTGAATGTATGTGTATATGCTTGCTTGCTTGTTTATTTTATACATATAAAATATAAAAAATACACATATATATATATATATTATATATATATATATATATATAACCTTACTGGGACTTAACTGTTTAAAATATATATACTTTAGGTGTTTGAATAGTGTCTGTCAATATTCTTAGTGGTAGATCCTGAACTAGAATTCTTTGTTCTTTTGAGGTAGTTTATTTGTTAGGCCTTTTTTGTTTATTCCTTGCTTCTCCCATCATACTCTTTTTTTTTTTGAATTTTTAAAATTTTTGGTTGCATTGGGTCTTCGTTGCTGCACGTGGGCTCTCTCTAGTTGCGGCGAGCGGGGGCTACTCTTCATTGAGGTGCACAGGCTTCTCATTGCAGTGGCCTCTCATTGCAGGGCACGGGCTTTAGGTGCGTGGGCTTCAGTAGTTGCAGCACGCAGGCTCAGTAGTTGTGGCTTGCGGGCTCTAGAGTGCAGGCTCAGTAGTTGTGGCTCACGGGCTCTAGAGCGCAGGCTCAGTAGTTGTGGCTTGCAGGCTCTAGAGCGCAGGCTCAGTAGTTGTGGTGCACGGGCTTAGTTGCTCCACTGCATGTGGGATCTTCCCAGACCAGGGCTCAAACCCCTGTCCCTTGCATTGGCAGGCGGATTCTTAACCAGTGAGCCACCAGGGAAGCCCCATACTCCTTTTATTCAGTGGAAGAGTCACAGTATTCTAATCAGTCACTCTAAGTCATTTTGTTATATTTTTTGGAGTATAGTTAATGATAAATATTGTAAGTAATGCATTTTAATTATAATTAGTAGTTCTTAAAAATTTACACAGGAGAGAATGTAATCTAAAAAAATTCCTAAGGTATCACTGAATTGTAATTATATTTTTAAGAAAGATTTCCAAATATGTTCCAAATGAGATAGATAGATATATAAAACTTCTGAGTAACCCTGTTAATGAACTGTGTATCGTTTTTATAGATATGGAATGTCTCAAATGGTGAGCTTCTTCATTTGTTTGCTCCGATTTCAGTAGAAGAAGGAGCTGCTACTCACGGAGGCTGGGTGACTGACCTTTGCTTTTCTCCAGATAGCAAAATGCTTGTTTCTGCTGGAGGATATCTTAAGGTAAGGGTTTCTCAAAGACTGAAAGAAAAGAACAGCCTGTATCCTACTTTCCAAATTATTTTCACTTCCTGTGTCTCAGTTGGGCCTCGTACAACCCATCAGAGAGGAAGGGTGATTACTGTTATCCCATTCTGAGTGATGAAACTGAGATCTGCAAGGCTGCATTCTTCAGATCTCTTGGAAGTTTTGATGACAGTGTTAGGGATGTTCTGAGTCCAGAGCTCTCATCCTGCCCCAAACAAAGTCTTAGGCGATCAGAATGACTAGAAAGTGGGGTGTTTAACTTAATTTGATTTTCTACTTCACTAATTGTGAGCTATGTTGGTTGAGTCTTTAAAAAAATTTATTTGTGAAATTTCCTTTCTTAAGTATTAGTGGTAATGGTAGTGGTAGTCGTGGTAGTAATAATAATAAAAATAGCAGCAGCAGCATGTTGCTTTATAGTTTACAAAATGCTTTACTTACATCATCTTATTAGCCAGCTTTGCGAGGCTTAAATTTTATCATTCTTGGTTTGTAGGTGAGGAAACTGATGTTCACAGAGGTTGTGAATTTCCTAAAATTACTTAGTAGATTGCCTTATACAAACTTATTATTAGCAAATACTGAGGCCACAGTTGAGCGTGTTGTGGTGCCTCAGGGTCATTTTTTGGTGCTTGCATCTTTTTATCCATCCACTCACTAAGAATGTATTAAGTGCCCACTGTGTGCTGGCACTGCTACGTGGCACAATGTTTAAGACTTGGTTCTTGCCCAGGTGGTTGACAGTCTTTGGAGGAAGCAGACAGTAAATAAATAAAGTCTCTAAGTGTAAGAGGGGTTCTGGGACACATTTGCATAAGGATAGTAGAGGCACAAAGGAGAGGACAGTTCTACCTTTGGGAGTTAGCAGAGGCTTCCATTGGAGGGGAATGCTTGAGCTGAGTCTTGAGTGGTGATTTACTTGTAAAAGGGGTTGAAGATGATACTGTGTATTGTACTGATCACTTAAAATAGATCCCTAATGAATTAGACCCTAATGAATTAGATCTTACGATACTGTTTTTTCTTACTGAAAACATTCAACTGTAGGAGATGATTCTGATTAATTGTCTAATACAGTATAGATGTTCAAAAATATTTGAATGACTGAATTGAAGTTTTTGGTTATATGGGACCTATGTAGATGCAATTTTATTTAATGTAAAAATCTAGCTTATAAAAAAGATAAATCAGAGGGCAGTTTTTAGCTCTGTGAGAGGATGTATGTTATGATTCCTTTACAAGTTTACATTGAAAATACAATGCTGCTTACAAGATGTTGCATTAACCTGTACCTAAATAAAGGTACACCTTTATTTAGTTATTAGGGGATTGTGAGACTATCACCACTTGTCCTCCTTTAGTGTAGAGATAAACTGCACTCTTAGTCTGTTCTGAGGATGATTCTTAGAGGAGCGACATTGCTGTCTTTGTGTTGGAAGCTGGGAGTCTTCAGCCGTATTAACTGCTGAAAAACTTAACTGCTCAGCTTTGACACTGAGCTTCTAGAGACCATGTCTTTTGATGCTCTGGGCACCATAGAAGGGTATCACATAATTGTGAGTCTGGCTTACAAGATATGATAAGAGATCAGTGACTAGATTTCCAGAGTTCCTGGAGAACCTTGAAATAAACAGCAGAATCGATGTCTGTACTGTTGAAGTTATGTCTTCGGGGTGAAAGAGCCTATAGCCTATATATTCAGTCTGTATATTTCAGTGGCAATCAGGCTGTTCTTCCTTCTGGTTTGATTACTAGCATGGTTAAACTGGTTGTGATATAGCCCAGCCTGCATCTACCCAGCATGTTCATGAGACTATCTAAGAGCACAGAGCAAATTAAAAGTAAAAAGGAACAGCTGCTGTAATGTCCAAGAAAATAGGCCTTTTGAGTCTGTTTACTTTATAATCCAAACTGTATGAATTGAATGTCAGTAAGATAAAGTAGGTATCCAGTAGCTAAAAAGCTCTTAACTTTCAAAATGATTCCTATTTATAAGTAAAAAATAATGTAATTTACTTGTGTTATGTCACAGAGTACATACTGTTAGAATGACAAGAAATCCACATTAATTCATACTCATGAGGAGAAAGGCTGATTTGAAATATGAAATACATGATGATAAATTCAGGTTTTCCATTACGTAGAGGCAACAGAATATAAAGGTCAGGAGTGTGAGACTTGGGGCAGACTACCTGAATTCAAAGCCTGGATCTGCCACTCAGTAGCTTTGTGATCTTGCACAAGGTGATTTAGCCTCTACTTTCTCATCTGTAAAATGGGTGTAATAATAACACCTACCTCATAGGGTTGGGAGGGTTAAAGGAGTTAATACAAGTAAAATACTTATACATGGTGGCACATAGTGTACCCTGAGTAAATGTTAGCTATCTTTTAAAAATTGAAGTATAGTTGATTTACAGTGTTTCAGTTGTACAGCAAAGTGACTCAGATATATACATATATAATATATATTACAATATAATATATATATTATAATATTATATATATATATATTCTTTTTCAGATTATTTTCCATTATAGGTTATTACAAGATGTTGAATATAGTTCCCTGGGCTATACAGTAGGTCCTTGTTGTTTATCTATTTTATATATAGTAGTTTGTATCTGTTAATCCCAAATTCCCAATTTATCCCTCCTTCCAAAAATATCCCTGCTATTTTTTTTAAATTTACTTTATTCCTTAAAGCAGATTTAGTTTCTCAGCAAAACTGAATGGAAAGTACAGAGTTCCCATATACGCACCCCTTCCCCACGTGCAAGCTTCCCCCACTGTCAACATCCCCCACCAGAGGGTACATTTGTTACAGCTGACGAATGTTCATTGACATGTCATTATCACCCCAAATCCATAATTTCTATTAGGGTTCACTCTTGGTGTTGTACAGTCTGTGAATTTTGACAAATGTATAATGACACGTGTCCACCATTGTAGTATTATACAGAGTAGTTTCACTGCCCAGAAGTCCCCTGCATAAGTCCTATTTAATATCATTGTCTTTTAGTCCATATTCACATTAGTGGCTGGGGTAGTGTTTCCAAGTCGAGTGGTCTGTTTTAATAGAGGGAAAGGCAGTGGGTGCACTAGGTTTGGAAGCCGGATAACTCTTCCACCTCTGCCACCTGCTAGTGGTGTTGTCCACAGTGACAAGGCCTTTCTTCTCTCTCAACCCTGGTTTCCTTACTTGTTAAGTGAGGCAGTTGGACTAGGTGATCTCTAAGGGCCTTACTACCTCTACGATTTGCCTCTAGCGACTGTCCTCTACAGTCTTGATTACACTGCTATTTTATAAAGCAAAATTGTTAGTCCTGGAAAATTTCAAGTTAGTACATGTTGCTTCATTGAGGTTTACTTAAGTCCACAAGGTATACTTTTACCAGTTACCATTACTAATAACTAATATTAGTATAACTAATAACTAATGAATAGTTGACCCAGTCACACGAGCAAGGCGGAATGCTAGGCATTGCCACGGACACAGAAGTGATCATTGCATTCATAATACTCAGAATCTTGATGTACCTGAGGCCTTTTCAAAAGGTGTTCATGTACATGGTCTCTTTTGCCTTCATCTTAGTTGTGAGATATGTAGGTAAGCTTCATGATCTCCATTTAGTAAAGGAATATAAATATTGTTATAATCTTAGTGAATTCAGTAATTGGGAAGAGAAAGGAAGGACTTGGCCAGAGCACCTGCTACATTTGAGATGTTCAGTATTTATTTAGTAAATAAATGTATAGACTTTTAAATAAAAAACTTGGTCATGGGCTCTTGAATCACTCCTGGTGAAAGGGAAGATTCAGTAGAGAGAACATTCTACCCTGCAGCCCGTATTATCAGTAGTCTTGATATCTGCCAAAATTCCTGTCCATTTCTGCAAAGGGGCATTTTTAGAGAAGAGAGCGTCATTCTTTCCATTCCACTGAGAAGGATATGCAGACAGGAGAATTCAGTCCAGCCATGGCCATAATGGGCTTTGTGTAGCCTTCTGTCTGCAGCTCTGAGTAGGCTGCATGTTTCTCCAGCATGCCTTACAGTGGGTTTAGGTGTAGGGTAGCTGTGAGGCAGTCACCAGGGTTAATCAGGAATGGTGGACTGGGTTGATAATACTATATTCAGCATTAACCCTTAGACATCCTTCCTGGTGTTTGCTTTAGTTTGGGAGTGGGGAGGTGATGGGGTGAAGGATCCAGTTGGCACTGCAGATTGTCTCACACTATAATTGCCAACCTAATAAGAATTTTATTTTTCTCTGAACAGTGGTGGAATGTTGTCACTGGGGAATCCTCACAGACCTTCTACACAAATGGAACCAATCTTAAGGAAATACATGTGTCCCCTGACTTCAAAACATATGTGACTGTTGATAATCTTGGTATTTTATATATTTTAAAGATTTTAGAGTAAAATAGTTAAGCAGCGATGTAAGTTGAACTCTTTTAATTTTGAATTGGAAAAAAAAATCCTAATGAAACTGTATTTCAACTTTTTATAAAGCTGTGAATTGTTTTGCAGTATTGCATTCATTACGAAAGTGTTTGTGGTTGGATGAATACTATTAATGTAGCTTTTCCCAAATGAACACACCTTTAATCTTACTTTTCATAATCATAATCATCATTTTTAACAGTTTGTCCTTAAGATACAAATGAAAATGTAAATATGTACCTTGTTATACCACTGGTAAAATTCTCCCTCGATGCATTCAAATTGGTTGACATAATTAATGAGAATAATTTGAAGGAAATATATATTTTAATAATATTATTATTATGCAGCCTGTGCCTCAGGGTAGTAGTGGCTTGATTTCTGAACCACATTTACCCCAAGGGGGTATAGTTCTCACAAATATAATCTCAGAACTTATGTGCACCCCTTAAACTTGCTTTAAAAATATTGTGTCTATGTGCACAGTTTGCAAAATTTCCTTTAATTCACTTGATAAGTGAGTCTTAGCTTTCAGAAGTACTCTCTGTGAAGCAAAAGTTACGTGTGTTGGAGTGAGTAGATTTTGTTGGTCTACCTTTTCTCATTAGCTGATGGCAGCCCCGGGCTGGACCTGGACTCTAGCAGTCAGTCTCTGAACTGGGCACTCTCTTGCTTTCTCTGGTTTTTTACATACCAGACTTCCTACTTGACTGAACTTAACCTTTCTTAATCCTCACTTTTCTCTCTTTTTTTAAAGTAATTGCTCCACAGTTAAATGTTAGTAAATCTGAATAATTGGCGAGGAGCCAATTTTAATCATAATTTTTAACAACAGAATTTTTCCAAGATATAGAAAATAGTAAAAAATAATTTTCTGGGCTTCCCTGGTGGCGCAGTGGTTGAGAGTCCGCCTGCCGATGCAGGGGACACGGGTTCATGCCCTGGTCCGGGAAAATCGTACATGCCGCGGAGCGGCTGGGCCCATGAGCCATGGCCGCTGAGCCTGCGCCTCTGGAGCCTGTGCTCCGCAACGGGAGAGGCCACAGCAGCGACAGGCCCGCGTACCGCAAAAAAAAAAAAAATTTCTTCTAATTCCATTTACTTTTAGATGAACGGCATTGCCAGTGCTTTTCTCTTAGTGAATTTCAAGAGAATTCTCTGTGGTTTTCTACACAGTACTGGAAGAGTCATTGTGACTGCAAGATGTCACCTTTAACCTTCCAGCCGGTCTGTTTTCCTTCCCCTTCTCACCCTCCTTCTCTCCTTCCCTCCCTCCCTCTAAGTTTAATCAGGAAAGATAGTTTTGATAGGGAAAAAGCATATCAGCATCAGTAACTAGCTTTTTTGATTTCCTGATTAGGAACTTTAATTGTAGCTTAAATCTAAACATTTTCCCTGAAATATATTGTTAAGGGAAATGGTGATAAATTAGTAATAGATGTGGTTCTTACATTAAAAAAAACAACCAAAATTCAAAATTTTTTGTTGCTGCAACAACAACTAAATCAGATGAGTATTAGCATTAACAGTAGGTAAGCACTGAGCCAGTTTCTATTGTTGGTGCGTATTAGTAGATGTGGGGTAGGGAGGGAGGGAACAGACCCCTCCAGGTGTATTTTAGATTAGATGTTCCTATTTAGCATTTGAGGGAACCATACAGAGAGTGAATAAAATATTTTACATTGTTAAGAGGTTTTTTTTGTTTTTTTGTTTTATGGTGGGTTGAGGAATTAATTTAGGGGCTTACTGTGATATAAGCAAATGTGACATGAAAATCTTAATTTTATAAAAAGAAATTTCTGTAAATGATATGTTCTGCTTAGAGTACCCAAATCATAATTTGATTTGCATACAATGTTTAGGAACTCATTTATAGCTCAGAGTATAAAGTATTAACTTTCGGAATTAAAAGTCACTTGACTGTAAAAGTATAACAACAAACAGCGGCTTTTAAAACATCTTGATTGGCTCTTATCTTACAAATAAATTAAAAAGAAAAATGAGAAGAAAGACCAGGTAACATAAGGAAGAAGAAAAGCCTTTCATAGCGGCTTAAGTGGCCAGTCAAGGGGAGGGTTTTGTTTTGTACTTTTGGTTGAGCATTTTTCAAGCATTTCCCCCTTTATTTTTTTTTGTATTGGAAATACATTGCATTTTGTATATATAAGATTTTTTTTTTTACATTGGATGTGTCTTGTATGTTTTGAAAACTGTTAGTTTTGTATTTATGATACAGCTTACATAATTTTTTGTGTGTGTTGGTATACATTTTAATACACGAATTTAAAACATTTTATAAAAATAAAATTTCTAAAATACTTTTGAAAAACATTTTCAGATTGTTTCAGACTCCTTCCTTGTCCTTTGTTGATCAGAAAACGAATGTGAAAGAGTCTTCAAATTAAAGCCATCAACCTCTATCCATGCTTTGTCAGCTATATGTAATTTAATTCTATCAAAATTTTCTTTTTCCTCAGTTTGTCTCTGATGCCTGGTGTGGCTGGCATGGAGAAGATCCTGTAAAGAAGAGAATTCATTTATTCATTTTTTCGTTCAGTACATATTTGTTGAGAACTGCCTGGCATTTTTGTAGGTATTGGGGATATAGCAGTGAGCAAAACAAAGTCCTTGCCCTCCTGCAGTTGGGGGCTAGGGAGAGACAGAAAAAAAGTCAGTCAGTCAAATTTATAGTGATTAGTTGGTATGTAAGTGAGGAGAGGAGGAGGGCTACAGTTCTAGAGGGAGCTGCTTGTTTGGAAGGTGACACTCGAGTTCAGACCTGAAAGGTGAGGGAGGGAGTGAGTCAGGCAAGTATCTGGAGAGAGTCCCCAAGCAAGGGTACAGCAAGTGCAAAGACTGGAAAGTGGGACGGGTTGGTCTGTTCCAGAACCAGCATGGAGGCTGGTGTGGCTGGAGAAGACTGAGCGAGGGGAGCTTAGTAGGAGGTGCAGCCAGCTCTGTGGAGGGTCTCCCAGGCCATGGCGAGGATGTCTACCCTGATATAGTAGCTAGCGCAGGAGTGTGAGCAGTGGGGAGATCTGACGTAAGCTGTAACTTGATCACTTTGGCGGTGGGAACCAGTTGAGGATCAGCTGAAAGGAGGACAGGTGAGGAGGGAAGCAGGGAGACCAATGAGAAGCTTTTACAATAATCTGGGCAAAATGAAGGCGGCTAGACTGGGGTGGCGGCAGGAGAGGCTGTGACAAGTTGGATTCTGGGTATACTTTGACGGTAAGAGTTAATAAGAGTTGCTAATGGATCGGATACAGGTTGTGAGAGGGACAAGTCAAGAATGATACCAAGGTTTTGGCCTCCGGCTTGAACAACTGGAAGAATAGAGTTGCTGTTAGCTGAGATGAGAAGACTATGTAAAAGGAGTGGGGTTTAGGACAAAGTAAGTTTGAGGTAGGTGTTAGGAAGACACCTGGGGCTGTTGAGTAGATGGTTCTTTTATAGGAAAAGTCTCTGATGGAGATAAAAATCTGAGAGTCATCAGTGAGTTGATGGTATTTAAAACCACAGGACCAGATGCAACAAAATGGGTGTAGATAGACAAGACAGGAGACCCCAGACTGAGCCCAGGGCAGTCTGGAGGTTGGTGAGCTGAGGGACCGGCACAGGACACCGAGAAGAACCAGCAAGGACTAACAGTTGCAGCTTAGTGTGGTAAGTGCAGCGGGTGTGGGGTCCTTCACTCAGTGTGCTCTTGGGCAAAATTCCTTTATTGGTTTATTCGTGCAGCCACCTGTCTATCCTCTAGGTCTTGAATATCTACTATGCCTAGCACTGTTTTCAGCAGCAGCCAAGGCAATAAACAAACACATTTTAGCTGTTGGGGGAAATTGGGGACAAGAGATAATAAGAAACCCAGAAAATACCAGCAGTTGTCTTACCTGTAGGGGTTCCTCCCTCTCAGCATTGTTGTAAGGATTTAATAAGATAATGCTCACAGAGTGCTTACTTATCTCAGTGCTTGGACCAAGAAAGTGCTCACTGCACATTCCTTGGTGTTATTTGGGTCCCATCCTGTTGCGTGGCAACAGTTCCCCGATCACTCTCTCTCCCAGCAGTCATGCCTCTGCGTGATCTTTCCAAAGTGCTTATCTTATCATGTCAGTCGTCTTTAAAATCCTGGACCTGCTTGTGCTCTCTTGCTTCTGTGGCGTTGTATGTGCGGTTCTCTCTTCTATACTGCCCTCCCCCACCTAATTTTTTTTCCTGATTCCTTCTTATCTTTTCCCTTGAGATGATCCTTCTACTGAAGGCTTCCCTGCCCTCTTGTAGCCCCCTCTTTTGTCTGTCGTGGTTTTTTTGACCTGTATCATTTATTTAATGGAGTCCCCCATTAGACTGTAAGCTCAATGAAAGCCAGGTCTGTTAGGTGTTTTATACCAGAGTCCAATGGAAGCCTGGCTCCAGTTGGAGCCTCAATAAATCTTTGCTGAATGATTGGAATTCCTGTATGCCCACATGCCCATAGTGCATTCTGTGTTCTCCCTCTGCACTAGGATGTCACGAGGCTGTCAAATTAAGATGTAGCACATTACCAGCATTTTCTTTATCTTCCCATTTTAGTTTGGCATTTTGCTGTGAGGCATCGTTAGGGGAAAGTAAAACTTTACTTGGATAAAAAAAGATCTGCTTCCAAATTATATGAAATGAATAAACATATCCCTGGAGTGTTTAAGTTGGCAAGTATGGCAGTCTATTATTCAACATATGTTTTGTGTTATTATTATAATTTACTTACCGACCTTTAGAGAAGGAGAAAATGATTTTCTAATAACTCTTAGTCTCTTAAGAGCACTTGAATGGATTTCCTTGCTCATAACCTCTATCCTTAAGACTATGGATATACCATACAGCTATTAAAATACCTAAATTAGAAAATCATTTGCTGTGGGGCTATGAGTTTAACCCTAGAAGAATTGTTGTGTAGTTGTATATATTCACATGGCAGGGGCAGAAGAATTTGCATCAAACATGGGACTCAACAGAGACCAGGCCTTTGAAGTCATTTGGCATCAACAGGGACTTACTGCTGAGTCAGATGGCATTGTGAGCAGACCAAAACTTGGGACATTTTCGTTACAGTTATGATTCAGGAAAATGAGTCGCTGGTGTTCATTGTAACTTCATTTATGAGGTCAGGCCCTCAGAACTGCTTATCACGTGGAAGTAAAAGAAAAATCTGTCTCTGTAATTTCTCATCACCAGGGCTAGAGTAAGTATCTAGAGAGAGCATTCTGGGCCTGAGTTTGGGTTTGGTGGTTCTGAGCAACTGATCAGCTGGGAAACATCCAGCAGTGAATGAAGACTCCTGCTTAGTACCAAGGTGGCTGCTCTGAGGAGTTGGAGCAAACTTTCACATTCATCAGATTCAAATCTTCCTCCCCTCCCAAGCCCTTATTTTATCTTCACAGTAGTTGATGCGTTTGCAGACTATGCAGTCCTAGCTTACAGGGGAAGAACTACATCCCAGGCAGTTAATCTGATAAAGCCAGGGCCAGAATCCAAATCCGATTTTCTTTTCTTTATGGAAACACCCACTGGGCTATGTGTTGAGTGTTTCCGTTGGAAGTGGAATCCTCTTGGAAACGTGGCCAATGAACACCAGACTAGGGGTCAAGGTGTGAGTTTCAGCAGCTGGGGAAGATTTTGGAGATCTGTGTTTCTCATTTCTGATTTATTTGCTGCACTCTGTCAACTTTCTGAGACATAAAAAATCCTTTTTAGGAGGAAGGAAGAAGGAGCTACTATTTTTTTAAGGGCCTTTTATGTGTCAGGCCCCATGCTGGGCACTTTCCACACATTATTTAATTAAATCCTAACGACAAGGCTGCAAGCTGTTATCTCTGTTTTCTAGATGTGGAAACAGGTGTAGAGAGGTTAAATCACTGGGGCCCCATAGGCAAGGTGGGGAGCTGTAGTTTCGGTCCATGGTTGTTGGCCTCCACCACAGCCCCCTGGGCTGGAGGATCCAGGAGCGTCATTTCAGCTCTGCACTTAATTCATTGTTCATTTCACTCATTCACATCATGGGTCATGCATGACCGATCTTAAGTCCTGAGCTCTCAGAGATGATGTCAAAGGTGGTCTCTGGTGCTGAAGAGCTTCCACTTCTGTTGCCCTGGCTAACCCATCTCTGTGCCCGTAGGGATTGCTCTTGGAAGAAAAGCAGCAGGGGCCATTCTGATGGGAGCCAGACAGACAGAAGAGGTTGGGGGATGCTTTGGATTTGCCAGCACTTGGCCGCGGCTCAACCTAGTCTCAGTTCACAAGTGATTCAAACACTGAGCAAGGTAGGTGGCAGCCCTACTGCAACCTGGTCCGTGGAGAAGCCTGTTCTACTTCGAAACTTTTAGGGGGTTCATTTCAAATTAGTGGCAGCCCTGGGGCTAGTGGATCCATATGTTTCTTCTGCCATCTTGATTTCATTTCCTTTTCTCCTTTTCCTTAAATTTGAAAAGGTGCCAACTCTCAGAGCCTCAGTTTCCTCATTTGTCAAATAGGGACTGCAACATCTAATTGCAAGGTTTTTGTGAGGATTGAAAAATATGTCAAACATCTGACACAGGTCTCAATAGTAGAATTACCTTTGTCCCAGTTACAAATTGCTATTCCTTTGCTGCCCACATTTCCTTGGTTTGCAAATTGGGACTGTGCGGCTTTTGCTCCATAGAACACACCTCACTCCACGCATCCTTCTCTACCTCATGGTGGATCTATCCTCATGGCTATTGGCTCCCAGGAGACAGACCTTGCTCAGCAGGAAAGCTGTCCCAGACGTTATTCTTTTTGGGATATGCATGGACTTGAGTGGTGGAGGATTAGGAGTGGCGTTGGGGAAAAGACCTTGGGCCACAGCGGCTTTGCTTTGGCTGTCAAGTGGATCCAAGTTCAAATCCTGGCTGCACTACCATCCCAGCTGTGTGGCCTTCAGCAAATGGTTTAATCTTCTCAAGGAGCTACTTCCGTGGTAGCCTCGGATGTGGGGATCTACGTGGGCTACCCAGCTTCTCAGGGGATCTGGAGGGCCTGGTCCATCCAGGAGTGAAGCTTCTCACACTTTACTGCATAAACCGCCCCCCACCCCAAACCCAGGTCTCACTCCAGACCAATTAACTCAGAGTTGCCAGGCATGGGACCCAGGCATCCATGTGTTTGAAAGTTCCCCGGGTGATTCCAGAGCACAGCGGAGGTTGAGAACCCATGTCCTCCGCCCTTGCCCTGGATGGCCTACCAAGCCATTGCCAGTCCCACTCCTGTGCCACAGCCAGCTGTGCCTGTGATGTCTGCTTTTGCAGCATGGTTTGTCCACCTGCTCTGTTGTGACACCCTCAGGAGCGTCCCGAGCAGCACAGATGTCTGGTGTGCATATTAGCACAGCTGGGGGGGTGTTTTCTGCTTGGATTTGATGGCTAGCTTATAGAGCAACTCTGCCAAGGTTGGAGTATTACCAGTATTACCAGTTCCTCCTCCAGTCACTGTTTTCTCTGTTCAGGTGTCTCACCTGTGTCTGTTTGCTTTCACCTTTTACCTAGTGCTGTGACATTCCCATTGTGACAGATACTGGGTGTTTTTTTTGTTGTTGTTGTTTTGTGGCAGATACTGTTGGTCGCCATCCTAATATCCAGTCTCTCCCTTTTCCTCACTAACAACTGCTGTATTGTTGGGAGCTGCCGTGTGCTCAGCTAAAATCAACAACAGCTACATTTTCCAATTGCTTATCTAGAGGTAGCAGATGTAAGCAGAACTTGTAGGGTGAAGCTTCCAGGAAAGCTCCTAAAAGCTTGCCTTACTCAGTTGGGAGGCAGGAGCCCTTCATTCCTTACCATCTTTTTTCCTGCCTGGAATGTGGATTCGCTGAATGATGGTCTAACAGCCATTTTGTGCCCATGAGGTGACCTTGTAGATGGATGCCACAAGCTAAGGGTGGCAGAGCAGAAATATAGAAGGAGCTTGGGATTTTGATGACAACTGTGGAGCTACCATTCCAGCCCTGCACTATTTATCTCTGAAGTTCATGTTACATGAGAAAATATTCAACCTCTCCCTTGTTTTAAGAGACTCTTATCTCTGGTCTTTGCTACTAGTCCCTGAATTCAGCTCCTGATACTCCCATAAACAAACCAAGTATATAAGAAGAGTTCAGCAAATGTCAGTGACCCCTGCATCCCTGTCTGTTCCATCCCCTAGCCCTAGCCACCCACCGTACCTCCTCTAATAACTAGAAATCAAGGTGGAAGATTGTTGAAGTTTGGTGGAATCTCAGAAAGGCACAGACAGGTGATTCATGGACCAGGCCCAGTCCACAGAGTTTTGTTTGGCCCACACTTAATTTTTAAAAACACACTGAACTTGTTGCCAGCATTTGAAAATCTGGTGGTTTCACATAAAAATCCTGATTTCTTAGAAAATCTATTGAGCCAGGGTCGTCTTATCTTCCTGGCAGCCATCAGCTGGAACTGAGCATCAGCCGCCCCCTGAGATGGTGGATGCGTGGATCATCACAGTCCACCTTCACTCATGTCACCTGTGTGGCCTGAAGGAATCTGAGTTTGCAGTCTTCCCTCTCCCTGCCAAGTGCGCACCCCAGAGATGGTCTGCTAAAACAGGATTCCTGAATTTCCTGTGCCTTTCCTCCTTCCCAGTCTCCCCTGACCCAACACTAGCATGTTGGGCTTTTTGGGTTTTGTTCTTCTCTGAGAAAACTGTGCACGCATTTAAAAAAAAAATTATTTATTTTTGGCTGCATTGGGTCTTTGTTGCTGTGCGCGGGCTTTCTCTAGTTGTGGTGAGTGGGGGCTACTCTTTGTTGCGATGCGCGGGCTTCCCATTGTGGTGGCTTCTCTTGTTGTGGAGCAAGGGCTCTAGGCGCACGGGCTTCAGTAGTTGTGGTTCACGGGCTCTATAGCGCAGGCTCAGTATTTGCGGCGCACGGGCTTAGTTGCTTCACAGCATGTGTGATCTTCCCGGACCAGGGCTCGAACCTGTGTCCCCTGCATTGGCAGGTGGATTCTTAACCACTGCATCACCAGGGAAGCCCCTATCTTTATTTTTATTTATTTATTTTGGGCTGCGTTGGGTCTTCATTGCTGCACGTGGGCTTTCTCTAATTGTAGCAAGTGGGGCCTACTCTTCGTTGCTACTCTTCGTTGCGGTGCTTGGGCTTCTTATTGCAGTGGCTTCTCTTCTGGAGCACAGGCTCTGGGCGCGTGGGCTCAGTAACTGTGGCTCACAGGCTCTAGAGTGCAGGCTCAGTAGTTGTGGCGCACAGGCTTAGTTGCTCTGCGGCATGTGGGATCTTCCCAGACCAGGGCTCGAACCCATGTCCCCTGCATTGGCAGGCAGATTCTTAACCACTGCACTACCAGGCAAGTCCCTCATATGTCTTATTGACGAGAGGCAACAAGAGGGAGAACTGCACGCTCCCTGGGGAGCAGCTGTTGGGCATTTGATTGAAGCACCGAGACATCCAGAGGACAATTAAATTGAGTATTGAATATGGATAGTTTTGAATGGCTTTTATTACCATGTTGTGAACTGACTTCAAGTTGCTAAGAGCAGCTCCATCTCAGCTTGCTCTTACCGGGTGCTGAGACATCACTCCGAGTTTTCCAGTATGGCAGGACTTGCAAGATGCTCTGGGCTTGTGAAGTGACATGTGTGCTCCTCGGCTGTCTGAAAACCTCAGCGGCTGTACTGCCACCTTCAGCTGGAGTGACCCTACTGGAGCCGTTAAATGGAGAATCTCTATCTCAGTCTGACGTGTGTGTAAGTCTTTATATCATTAGTCATTAACTATGCTTGGGAAGTGAAATGCCCATGAAGCTCTTACAAACAAACATAGGTCTCTGGGGTTTTGGAGAGAAAAACAAAAACTGTCTGGATGATAATTTGTAGCTATGATTATTTATGAGCAACAGAGTGCAGCATGTTGGGTTGGGAATGATCATCTCTGCATTAGCGACTCTAAGTAAAATGGAGCCACGGTGAACACAGAGTGAATTCTCGGTCAGTAGACTGGCTTGAGGTCAAGACAGGAAACAGTTAAGTGGAACCGGCATTTCCCAGGTCAGCACCAAAGTCTTAGGGTTAATTCCACTGCAAAAATTTGAGTATTAATGGAATCTCATAGGATGCCGGATGGTGATTGGGCAACAGACCTAATGAAATTCCCTGCTTTGGAATTGGTTTCTGTGGGAAGCAGGACCCTGTTGCTGGGGCAAGCTGGGCGTGTGGATGGCTGGAAGGGAGTGCGGGGGAGGCTGTTGGAGCCTTGGTGCAGGTAGACTCTGCCAGCCTTTGTTGGTTGGTTACCCACTTTTAAGAAAATGTGTCTATAACTGTCATATTACTTAATTTTCATAGGAAACATACTCAGTGAATAGCTTGTATAAAAAGAATTGAAGGGCTTCCCTGGTGGCGCAGTGGTTGAGAGTCCGCCTGCCGATGCAAGGGACACGGCTTTGTGCCCCGGTCTGGAAAGATCCCACATGCCGCGGAGCGGCTGGGCCTATGAGCCATGGCCGCTGAGCCTGCGCATCCAGAGCCTGTGCTCCACAACGGGAGAGGCCCCGACAGTGAGAGGCCCGTGTACAGCAAAAAAAAAAAAAAAAGAGGCTTCATTCCATACAGACTTCTGAACACGGTTATTGTATTCCAGTTCTGTGGAAGAACAACTCTGGAGGCTAGCCCACTTATCAAATTTTCTTTTCTTTTCAGAAATAGCTTAGGAGCAATGCTGCTTGGGGTCCAAGTATGAATTTTCGCTGATTTTTGAGACTGTGGCCATGTGTTCTTTATCTAAGCCCGTCTTCTGCCCGATCATATCCAAACATTTTATGCACCAGCAATATTCCCAAGTATTCCAGCAGAAAATCTGGTATGTCTTGAAAAAAATCACTTCCATGACTTATTAATGAACTAACTAGGCATAATTTTCATTGGGTTCATTTACCCAAATTTATCATAGAGTATCATTTAAGAAGAAAAAAAAATAGATGGAGTAATTGAATCGAAGTCCTTTTTGGAATAATATTAACATTCCAGGATCTCCACCCCCATGGATATTTGTTGCCAATGTGTCAAATTTCCCCTTCAAGAAAATGAGGTGCAAATCCCTTCAGTACAAGGGCTGCCTCTCTTCTGTTTGCCCCTCAGACTCCCTCCTCCCTCTTCCCTGCCCTGTTGTGGTTCTGGAGGTGCCTTGTGTAGACCAAATCAATGCGCTCCTTGCCCTATGGCTTCCAGTGGGTTTAGGTAATGCAGGGTGGATGGTGCAGAGTGAGATCAGGGTATTTTTTTTATTTAATTGAAGTTTAGTTGGTTTACAGTATTGTGTTGGTTTCAGGTGTACAGCAAAGTGATTCAGTTTCATACATATATATATATATTTTTTTCCAGATTCTTTTTCATTGTACGTTATTACAAGATATTGAATATAGTTCCCTATGCTATACATCAGGTCCTTGTTGTTTATCTGTTTTATATATAGTAGTGCGTATCTGTTAATCCCAAACTCCTAATTTATCCCTTTCCCCTTTGGTAACCATAAGTTTGTTTTCTATGTCTGTGAGTCTGTTTCTGTTTTGTAAAGAAGTTCATTTGTATCATTTTTTAGGATTCCACATATGTGATATCATATGATACCTGTCTTTCTCTGTCTGTGCTTAGTATGATAATCTCTAGATCCATCCATATTGCTGCAAATGACATTATTTCATTTTTTAACGGCCAAGTAATATTCCATTGTGTATATGTACCACATCTTCTTTATCCATTCATCTGTTGGTGGACATTTAGGATGCTTCAGTGTCTTGGCTATTGTAAATAGTGCTGCTGTGAACATTGGGGTGCATCTATCTTTTAAATTAGAGTTCTTGTCTTTTCTGGATATATGCCCAGGAATGGGATTGCTGGATAATATGGTAACTGTATTTTTAGTTTTTTAGGGGACTTTCATACTGTTCTCCATAGTGATTGTACCAATTTACATTCCCAGCAACAGTGTAGCAGTTTCCCTTTTCTCCACATCCTCTCCAGCATTTATTATTTAGAGACTTTTTGATGATGGCCATTCTGACCGGTGTGAGATGATACCTCATTGTAGTTTTGATTTGCATTTCTCTAATAACTAGTGATGCTGAACATCTTTTCATGTACCTGTTGGCCATCTGTATGTCTCCTTTGGAGAAATGTCTATTTAGGTCTTCAGCCCATTTTTTTTTTTTTAAGTTTTTTTGTCTTCTCTTTTTAAAAAAAATTATTTTTGCCTGTGTTGGGTCTTCGTTGCTGCACATGGGCTTTCTCTAGTTGCGGCAAGCAGGGGCTACTCTTTGTTGCGGGGTGCGGGCTTCTTACTGTGGTGGCTTCTCTTGTTGCAGAGCACAGGCTCTAGGCATGTGGGCTTCAGTAGTTGTGGCGCACGGGCTTAGTTGCTCCACGGCATGTGGGATCTTCCTGGACCAGGGATCGAACCCATGTCCGCTGCATTGGCAGGCAGATTCTTAACCACTGTGCCACCAGGGAAGCCCACATTCTTTTTTCTAAATATTCTTTTCCATTATGGTTTATCATAGGATATTGAATATAGTTCTTTGTGCTATACAGTAGGACCTTGTTGTTTATCCATCCTGTATATAAAAGCTTACATCTGCTCACCCCAACCTCCCACTCCATCCCTCCCCCAACCCGTAGTCTACCCCTTGGCAACCACAAGTCTCTTCTCTACATCTGGGAGTCTCATCAGTGTCTTATTATAGTTTTCAGAGTACAGGTCTTTTGCCTCCTTAGGTAGGTTTATTCCTAGGTATTTTATTCTTTTTGATGTGATGGTAAATGGGATTGCTTCCTTAATTTCTCTTTCTGATACTTTGTTAGTATATAGGAATGCAATAATTTTCTGTATATTAATTCTGTATCCTGCAACTTTACTAAATTCATTGATGAGCTCTAATAGTTTTCTAGTGGTTTTCACAGTGACAGTGTTACTTCTTCCTTTCCAGTTTGGATTCATTTTACTTCTTTTTCTTGTCTAACTGCTGTGGCTAGGACTTCCAAAACTATGTTGAAAAAAAGTGGTGAGAATGGGCATTCTTGTCTTGTTCCTGATCTTAGAGGGAATGCTTTCAGCTTTTCACCATTGAGTACAGTAAGTCCCCTACATATGAACCTTCAAGTTGCAAACTTTCAAAGATGCAAACGTGTTCCATCAACATCAGGCATGAATGAAGTTGCAGCTTGCCCTCTGTCTCCTATTGCTGACGATCCTTCAGCTCTACCATCTCGCACCTCCTCCGCCTCCTCCAGTCAGTAATTCTTCTTGCCTGTTGACTCGATGCCAGCCCCTGGATGCCAGCTGTTGTACTGTACTACTGTACTTTTCAAGGTACTGTACTGTAAGATTAAAAGTGTTTTATTTTTTGTTTTTTATGTATTATTTGTGTGAAAAGTATTATAAGCCTATTACAGTACTATATAGCCAATTGTATTAGTTGGGTTCCTAGGCTAACTTTGTTGGACTTATGAACAAATTGGACTTACAGATGTGCGCTTGGAATGGAACTCGTTCGTATGTAGGGGACTTACTCTATGATGTTAGCTGTGGATTTGTCATGTATGGCCTTTATTATGTTGAGGTATGTTTCCTCTTTGCCCACTTTCTGGAGAGTTACCATAAATGGATGTTGAATTTTATCAAAAGCTTTTTCTGCATCTGTTGAGATGATCATATGGTTTTTCTTCAATTTGTGAGTGCGGTGTATCACATTGATTGATTTGCAGATGTTGAAAAATCCTTGTATCCCTGGTATAAATCTCACTTGGTCGTGGTGTATGATCCTTTTAATGTATTGTTGGATTTGTGTTTTGTTGAGGTAGTTTTGCTAGTATTTTGTTGAGGATGTTTGTATCTACATTCATCAGTGATGTTGGCCTGCAATTTTCTTTTTTTGTGATATCTTTGTCTGGTTTTGGTATCAGGGTGATGGTGGACTCATAGAATGAGCTCAGAAGTATTCCTTCCCCTGCAGTTTTTTGGAATAGTTTCAGAAGGATAGGCGTTAACTCTAAATGTTTGGTAGAATTCACCTGTGAAGCCATCTGGTCTAGGACTTTTGTTTGCTGGGAGTTTTTTAAATTACTGATCCCTTTCTGAAGCCCACAGCACCTGTCTGGAAGCCCCCTCCACGAGCCGCCTCCTTTCCCACTCCCTTCAGGCCACACCAGCCGAGGGTTAGTTTCCCTACATGCTGCCAAGACCTTTGTTAGTATTCTACTTATTAAACTCTTAAATTCTCCCAATTGGAGTGTGCCATCTACTTCATGCTGGGATCATAACTGATACAAATAAGCATTGATCCACAGAGATAATAAATAAGAGGATTGCTGACCTCTTGGTGGCTAGCAAAGATTAAAAAGGGGCTGAATTAGCCCAGGCAAAGCATTACTGTCTAAAATTCCAGCCCAAACCTTCCTTCAGGAAACCTGCCCTTCTGCCTCTGTGAATGTCGCCCCATCTCTGGATGGTTTTAGCCCTTTCAGGTTCAAAGCCCTAGGCCTCTGCATGTCAGGCTGGGAGCACCCCGTGATTGGTTTGGCATGTGTTTTGGAGAGTAACTTGGATCCAGCAGTGGGGAGATCTTTTGCTGAAAGTCACAGGATATGGAATGTGAATCATTGATTTTTCCAGTGTGTCTCTAACATGACCCTTTTATTACTCGACTCATAGCTGGTACATGTGTTTTAGGAAAAATGAGTGTTGTTATGGAAAATCTGTGTCCCCTCAAAATCCATATGTTGATGACCTAATGCTCCATGGTGAGTATCTGGAAATGGGCCTTTGGGAGATAATTAGGGTAAGATGGGGTCATGGGGGTGGGGCCCTCATGATGGGATTAGTGCCTTTATAAGAAGAGAAGCCAGAGAGCTTGATGCTCCCTCACCCTCTGCAGACACACACCACAGAGAGCTCATGTGAGCACACAGCAAGACAGCAGCCACCAACAAGCCAAGCCAGGAGAAAAGGGCCTTAGAATGAAACCTACCTTGCTGGCACCTTGATCTTGGACTTCCCAGGACCTCCAGAACTGTGAGAAATAAATTTGTTGTTTAAGCCACCCAGTATTTTGTTATGGCAGCCTAAGACAAACATGTAGATGTTGTCCTGTAAAAGTAATCTAGTTTGGTAGTCCTCCCTCTTTTACCAATTTCTGTTTTGGTAATTCTTCCTTACAGCCCACTTTAACATTAAAGACAATGGGGGCTTTATGGCTGAAATTCAAGCTTTAAAGGCCTGGCTGAACTTGGAAATGAGCAAATTTTCTCAATTTTGCCAAATGAAAAAAATCCCTTTAGCTATGGATGCTGAGAAGGCCGGGCCTTTGGTTCTATCCTAAATGGAAGTGGGAAGGTGCTCACAGAATGATGCCAAGCACCAGCAGCTGTACAGTTTCCATTTTATTTTGTGTGTTTTTTTATAGGATATAAATAATGACAAAAATTACAAAATTTATAACGGAAGCCCAAGCATATTTACATGTTTCCTTTTCAGCAAAGCTACTATTTACTTTGCTCCTATACAGTTTCTTTTTGGTACCATATTTTAGGGATATTTTACTCTCAATTTACTACATACATATCGACAGTGAATAGGCAAAATATATACAAGGAACTGTTCAGTTCAAGTAATTTAATATTGTATTAAAATTCTCCAACACTGAACTAAAACCATATACATTTGTCAGTTTGAAATAAAATTTAGTTGTCTTTAAAACTCACCAACTGATGAATGTAACTGATAATCTCAGGTTTAAAATAATATTGGTTAATTAAAAAAATTAAGACAATCCCACAATTTATCCATATCGCTTATTATAATGAACTCCAAAATGATTCACAATATGATTGGTTAGAACAATATACATTAAAATGTTATTTTTTCTATAGTGATATTGGTACTGTTTATATAATTTGATTCTACATAAATATACATTATGGTATCATACAAATACTCCACAGAGACATTAAAAAAATTAAAATATCTTAATGAAATGTAAGTAAATTTTATTTAATCAAAGAGTAAGCAAACATTTATTTTGTTTCAAGAAAAGAGTTTTATTACTTTGGAATCTCTCTTTTTTTTTTTTGTATTTGTGTTTTTCTAGAAAAAAAATTTTTTTTTGCAATAGAATTTTATTAACATCTTTCTCAAACAAACAAGGTTTCCATGACAGAAATCTTGACAGCAGGAGCCCTAGGTTTTTTGTTTAACATGTTTTTTTAAAACTGTGAAGTTTAAAAAAAAAAAAAAATCTTTGCAGGCTTATGGCTGTGTCAGCACTTTCGATAAGACGCCAGCCTGCTTGCCCAAATCTCCTGCTCTAGTGAGCGTCTCTGGTATAGTACTTTGCAACGCCCAAGCCAGTTCTCTTGGTAGTAGCAGTAGAAATTTAGTTATTTGAAATGAAAGCAAAACATCCCTCACAACTAACCTAGTTTTCTTATCAATGTGTTAGTGAAACATTCTTTTAATAAAAATATTTAATACAAGACACATTTTTCTGTGCATAATAAATTCCTCTGTTTTAAATCATTAAGTTTTTGAATCAATCCATAGATGTAAAGGTTTTCTTTATCTGACATAGTTGATTACATATAAAATCCACAAATATAGAAATTGGGAAATAGGATTTCCTTGCAATCAGGGGTATTTTTTGTCCTTTTGCATGAAACGATACTCAGTGAGATAAGGATTTTACAGATGCTTTCTGGGGGTAGTTCTGTTCTCATTCTACCTTGAAAACTGCTGACAGTGAAAAATAAACCCAAGATTTTTATACTTTTAGGCAGTATTAGAGATCCCCTGTATTTTTTTTCTTAAGGTATTATCCCCAAATACAGCAAAGCAAGTGTTGGGGCAAAGTCACTAGAAATACCTTGGGTGGTAGCAGGGAGGGGAGTCGGGAGAGTGAGCCACAAATCTCAACTCATTTCTCTCAGGGGTTACGACTGGAAAGTCTTGGTTGCACTTTCTGTCACTGGTGCAGAAAGAACGTCCCCAGGAATGGCCAGTGGCCTTTCGCCCGTGACAAGGCCACACAAACAGCAGTCTTCCTCCTGCGCTGGGTGGAAAGCCTGCTCCGGGACTGCTCGGCGTGCAAGGCACCGCGAGGACGGGAGGACGGTGAGTATCAGAAAATCGTGGTCTCATACTTGGTATTTATTCCCCTCTTGGTTTCTTGTCCCGGCTCCACAATCCACGGCAGATTGGCCAGAGTCTTTTGCTCAGATGGGTCGATCTGCTTTAAAACAGAAAGGCTGATGCCCGTTATACGGTACCTGCCTGGGGTTGCACGCATGCATCCTAACGCTGCCTGGAAACCATCACTGTGCTCTGGCAGGACCTCAGGATGTTGGGGGTGTGAGAGTCATCTGTTCATTCTTCTGATACACATTTACTGCAAGGCACTGGGCGGGGGGGATGGTGAGTGAGACACAGCCCTTGCTCTTGAAGGCACACAGGTGGGGAGCAGACGTAGGAATACTTTACTGAGAAGTGAGATTTGAGGGGGAAGAGGGTGCTCTGTGGGCACCCAGGAAGGCCACTGACCCCATGTCAGGAGCCAGGGGGGCTTCCTAGAGAAGGTGAACCAGGCTATGTCCTGCCTGCCTCTCAAGCCTCCAGTGGTTTCCATTACAGTCAGAATAAACCCAGAGTCCTCGAGGTGACCCACGGTGGCCCTGTCCGCCTGCCTTTCTACGCTCCAGCCACACCGGCCTCCCTGCTGCTCCCTGTACACCAAGCCCCAGCCCAGACCCTCTGTGCTCATCACCTCTCTGCCTGAATACTCTCCAGACATCTGCCTGCTTTATGCCCTAATGTGAGTCAGGGTGCAGTTCAAACATCACCTCCTCACCAGTTTACCCCAAGCAAAATAGCACCTCAACTTTCCTGCTTTCCTCTGCTGCTCTATTCTTTATAATCCTTTTTGCCACATACATCATGTTTATTTGTTCATCCTCCACTACAATGTATGCTTATGAAGGTGGGATTCTGTCTGTTCTGTTTACTCCTGTTTCCCTCAAACTCAGAAAAGCTCCCGGCAACCCACTAAACAGTAGGCACCCAATAAATACTTGTTGACTAGACATTATTTAAAAGTTAATTAAGGTAATGTCTAAACGGAGAGCTGGAGGAGAAGCAAGAGTTTCCTAGTAAAGGCAGGGGGTGTGGAGCAGCATGTGCAAGGTCCCCGAGGTAAGGGAAAGAGGCCAGCTGAGGGCTTGCAGTCAGGTCGCCGAGGGCACCCGGCGGGGAGACAACTGAGGGTGAAGAGGTGAGTGGGCCCAGGTCAGGGTGAGCCTTGAACCAAACTGAGCTGTAAAACGTCAACACCATTTCAGCCCCTGCGTGTACAAGGTTAAACAGGCCCTTTCTGGGTGAAGCTTGAGTTCTGAGCTCTCACGGGCGGCCTGGAGCAGTTCTCCACCAGATTGCTGCCTCTTTCTTTGGTGTTTCCATGTCTCCCCCTGGCCCTGGCCACCTGCTCTGCTCAGGAAACCGGAGCAAGGGAGCTGTCCGAAGAGTGCAGGGGTCTGTGCCCGTCGGCCACCTGCAATTTGACTGTATCTCCACAAGGCTGTGGGGAGGACTCTACATGTCTAATCATGGGCTGTTTCTCAAAAATAAACTACTGGGGCCGAGGGAAAGGGAACACAGACACCTATTGAGGGGGACAGGATCTTGGGGCAGTTAAAGGACAGCAGTATTATTCACTGTGTGTTTCATATTTTTCAGTGAAGGCTTCTAAATGAATATTCTGAGCTCTTATGGCACACACCCTTTGTGCTCATCTGGAAGAAATCTATGGGGACCAGACAAAAGTCAGATGGAGGTCCCTGCCACGAACAGATTTATCCAGCCCACACAGGAATGAATACAGTACTCTAAGAGCTAATCCCCCAAATGTTCTGAAAATTCCTGGACATTTGACTTGCTTTTCTTGTGGGATAAGATAGATAGACAGACAATAAATAAACAGGGGAAGCCTGGGTGGTCCAGGAGAAGCCTCTCTGTGTAGCTGGGCCCTGGATGACAAGCCAGACTCAGCCGTGCAGAAACAAGGGGGAGACAAAGCCAGGTGGAGGGAACAGGGGGCACAGAGGCCTTAGGTGGGAGTGAGCTTTGTTTCTAGGAAGAAGAAGGCCTGAGTGTCAGAGAGGAGTGTGGTGGGAAATTGGGGCAGTGGTACCATGATCTGGTCTGTGTTTTAAGAAGGTCACCCTGGTTGCCGGGCAGAGGAGGGGAGTTTTTAGGAGATGTATGGGAGTATTTTGGAGATTACTGGTGGTGATGGCTTGGATGGGAAGAGTGACAGAGGAAATGGAGAGGAGTGCACGGGTCTGAGAGATGTTTTAGGGGCTGAACGGATGGAATCTGCTTGTGGGGTGGACACAGGTGAGAGGAAGACAGAAATCAAGGGTGTCTTCTAGATTTATGGCTTGAGCAACATGGTGAATGGTTATGCCATTTACTGAGCTGGGAGAGACAGAGAGAGAAGCAGCTTTGCGGAGAGATCAAGAATTCTGTTCTGGACACACTAAGTTTCAGATGTGTGCTAAGCCTCGAAGGGGAAATGAGGGGGCAGTTGAACCTGTAAGTGCCGTTCTGGGAGTGCTTCAGGACTGGGAGCCAGTGGGGCTGGCAGGGGCAGAGGTGGGGGGACTGGGGGTCAGAAGGAAAGTCAGAGGATGCTTGCAGTTACTGGTGATCAGTGATGTGGGGTGAGCGTGGGAGTGAATGGTGAGGTGGGGGAAGAGGTCTGAGAGGTGAGCTGTCAAGGAGCAGAGGGGCCACACGCTGGGAGGATCATCCCCATGGATGTTGAAGTTGCCAAGAATGGAGACAGGAGTAGAGGCCAAAGAGAAGAACGTGAATAAGAAGCCACATGGTCACAAAGGGTGGTGCCTCTGCAAACATTAAAAACCCTACAATTCCCCACGACTCCGGGGACAGGGCTCAGTGGGGAGGAGGAGGAGTCACAGGCGGAAGGATACGTGGGCTGAGCGATGCCTCTGAGGGTGCCTGCTGCCCTGAGTCCCAGAGTTTCTAGGATGCCATACGGCAGCAGAAACCAGACGGGAGGCTTCCAGCTTCTGGGTATTGCTACCACCAGAGGAGGCCGCTTTGAAGTCATGAAAGTCTGTTAGGACAGGATGTGTGCAGAGCGTGTGGGAGGGAAGGGGGGAAATTTCTGGAGGGAGGCAGATGCCGGGGAGGAGGGGCAGTACCTTCTGAACAGTCCCTGCTCTGCAGGAAGCCTGCGCCTAGGCCTCCTTGTCAGGCCCGTGTACAGCCTGCACCTCCAGCCTCCTCTAGCTGGGTACCAGGGATGCCCTCCCCATGAGCCTCTGCCACCCTCTCTGCTGCCCAGCGGCTTGTGAGAGGCTTGCCCCCTAGAGGGATGGCAGCCGGGGCCTCAGGGATCCTTTTTCCCAAGATCGCCTGGACCTTGAGGAAAGACTCCCCTGGGAGGCCAGCAGCACCCAGTCCCCTCACAGGCTGCTGCAAGGGACAAAAGAAGTGGAATTTTCTTGGGAGCCTCCAAGTTCAGGCAGATGGTCCCCAAGACTTTGCAGGAACTGGGCTGAGAGGAGGACAGACACATGCCAGGATGAGGCCAAGGGAAGGACAAGAAGGGCAGGCCCTGGATTCTCGCCAGCCCCAACGGCACCAAGGATCCCTCCCCTCCAGTTCAAGGTTTTCAGAACATCTGTCTTTTCTACTTACCACCGACTTGCGAATGCTGACTCGGGGCTTGGGGATGGGCTTGGAGGGCTTGTTTTCAAAGCTTTCTGGAAGCGTGGAGGAATGCCCCCCTTTCCTGGCTTGCAGCGCGAGCTGGTAAGCAACTTCAAATGCCTGTCCCAGCGTTAGGATGATCTCGTAGGCTAAATTCTGCAAGAGAAATGAGAAAGCATTTATGACAGCATCTTCCAGATCAGAACAGAGTGGCTGAGGAACACCGAGTGGGTGAACCGGCAAGGACCCTGAACTGCTCCACCTGATGTGGCAGAGAGCCTGGGGAAATTTGACAAACAGGACACTGGGTCCAATTTAGGGTCTGTACGAGGCATCAGTTACTGACGCGATGCACTTGCTTACAGCCACCTAAGGAGCCTGCGCCGGGACCCCGGAGCCCGCTCCATCCGGGGTGGCTGCTTTGCTCCCAGGTCTGAGAAGGGAAGGGGTCCTTCAGCCTGGGAGGAGGATCCCACACATTCCACAGGAGGTGTTCCTGAGAAGTTGGGGTCTTTTTACTTCCAACATCTGTGATTCAGTGAACATCTCTGAGACACAATCAAAATCTAATTTAGGCAGAGGGGAGAGGCATTAGTCATGCTGGTGTGGCGTCTCACACTCACAGCGAGCATGCAAACAGAGCCAATTATCCATCTATTTCTTGAGGCGTTTGTTCTCCCTGTGGGTCCACTCCATAGTTTATCATCAAATCAGCAAGAGACAGGAGATCCTGTCAGGCTCGAATGCCATGCCAAGCAGTGTCTGGGAGAGTTCTTTCTTTCGGACCTTCAATCACTCCCCTCAGGACGTCTAGCTTCTCGTCTCCAGATTCGTACTTCATTTCTGCCTTCTCTTCCGAGCACAGTCCCACCCTGTCTGCTCTCACTGAGAAAACAGGACATGGTCTGACCCCACTTCTGAAGCAGGGTCTCGACAAGACCCTGAGGTCACAGCTCATCGAAGAGCTGGATGCTTGTGGGTCACAGAGAGCTTTCTTACAACCACTGCACCAGCTGAGAGCCGGTGTGGTCTGTTCCAAGTTTCCATACTCATGAACGCCTCTAGAAAGTCTGTGTGGTTTTTTCCTCAAAACCACAGAAATTGCTTTGCTGATGTTGCACCCCTGCTCCCTCCGCCCCAGTCAAGCACACAGAACATCTTGATTCCCATGATTCTGGGGAGATCTGCTGAGGACCGTTCTCACTTGACAAAGATGGAGGGAGACGCGGCATGGCCGTCAGGGCTCATGGAAGAGGCCCACGGGTCTCCAGACGGACCAGATTTCAGATCCACGCCGGACTGCTGG